GGATCAGGATCACCCAAAAGGAGGATCCCCCAAACATACTCTTTTTGTGGATATAAAGAAAGAATCTGAAGTTTCTTGCCCCAAAATAATGTATGCAGAGACACATAACCTAGAGGAGTACTGACCATTCATGTGTCCTCTGCCCCCAGTCATGGAGCCCAGGTTAAAAACCCATACATCCACAGATAATTATATTCAAACATGTTCCATCCCTTTAGAGATTCTCAGAACTTGGGGAAGGAGAAATTATTAATTATATCCTTAATTCCAGGAGGTTAAGATAGTTTTATAGGAGAACTTCCATTAACTGTCTAAACAATCTGTTTTCAGTTTTATGTTTTTTGTTTTTTTTTTTGCTGGCGTACTTTCTAAATAATTATTTTAAGACTATGTACTCCTTGGCACAATTTTTAATTGATAGCTTAACATTTTTCATCAAAAGTTTACATAATTGCAAAGGTTGTAATTTCTGGCATATTGTAAATTTATACACTTAAAAGTAAAACAATTACATCACTCTTTTAAATGTATCCAGTTAAATTAAATGCCCTAGGAATTTGATACCCACAATCATCCATTTAAAAAATAGATGAACACGCTCTTTTCTAAGGATCAGACATTTTGTATCATTTCTTTTTCTATTTGAACTCAAATTTCTGCTCCATGGTCCACCACAAAATTTTATCATAATGTGTGTGTGTGTTTTTTTTTTTAATGCATCAGAGGCCTACTGATGACTCTTTTAGAAAGTCCTACAGCAATTTAAACAGCTTTATTAAGGTACAACTGGCATAAAATAAGCTATACATATTTAAAGTATACAATTTGACGTAAATATATGCTTGCTGTATTAGGCTGTTTGCGTTACTATAAATACATGAGACTGGGTAATTTATAAAGAAAAGAGGTTTAATTGGCTCACAGTTCTGCAGGCTATACAAGCATGGCTCCAGCATTTGCTTCTGGTGAGGGGCTCAGGAAACTTCCAATCATGGCGGAAGGTAAAGGGGGAGCAGGCATCTCACATGGCAACAGCAGGACCAAGAGACAGGGAAGGTGGAGGTCCCAGACTCTTAAACAACCAGATCGAGCATGCACTGAGAGTGAGAATTCATTTATCACCAAAGGGATAATGCTAAACTATTCATGAGGGATCTGCCCCAGGATCCAGTCACCTCCAGGCCACACCTGCAACAGTGGGAATCACATTTCAACATGGGATTTGGAGGGGACAAACATCTAAATCACATCACTCTCTAAACCGTCCTACAAACTTTGGTAAATAATTATTAAATAGAAAAAGTAAAATTGTTTAAGAAATACCTGTCTTAATTAGGTGGCTGGGGCAATTTTTCTTTCCAATTAGCTCACTAAAACCTCCATGAGGTCGTGTATAGTGGCTCATGCCTGTAATACCAGCACTTTGGAAGGCCGAGGCATGCAGGTCACTTGAAGTCAGGAATTTGAGCCTGGCCAATGTGGCGAAACCCCATCTCTACTAAAAATGCTAAAATAAGCTGGGCGTGGTGATGTGCACCTGTAATTGCAGCTACTCAGGAGGTTGAGGCACAAGAATCACTTGAACTCGGGAGGCTGAGGTTACAGTGAGCAGAGATTGTGTCACTGCACTCCAGCCTGTGTGATGGAGTGAGACTGTCAAAAACAAACAGACAAATGCCTTAATGAACATTGCTAGAATGAAATTGGTTTTAGCAATAATTTTATTTCTATCTTTCATTTATTATAGCTGTCAAACCATGTTGTGCTAAAGCCATCTTGTAGTGGTTCCTGAAAGTCAATTTTTAGAAATTTTGTGCCTGGGTGCCATGGATCATACCTATAATCCCAGCACTTTGGTAAGCTAAGTTGAGAGGATTGCTTTAGCCCAGGCATTCAAACCCAACCTGGATAACATAGTAAGATTCTGTCTCTACCAAAATAATAATAATAATAATAATAATAATAATAAGCTGTGGGTGGTGGCGTGTGTCTAGTCCCAACTACTCAGGAGGCTGAGGTGGGAGGATCTCTTGAGCCTGGGAGGTCGAAGCTGCAGTCAGCCATAATTTTGCCACTGCACTCCAGCCTGGGCTACAGAGAGAGACCCTGTTTTTTTTTTTTTTTTTTTTTTTTTTTTTTTTTTTATGTCAGCCAGTTGTTAAATATAACTATTGCTAAAAATTAAATTATATGAACATACAATTATGTTAAAAACAAAGGAGGCTGGGTGCAGTTGCTCACACCTGTAATCCCAGCACTTTGGGAGGCCGAGGTGGGTGAATCACGAGATCAGGATATCGAGACCATCCTGGCCAACATGATGAAACCCTGTCTGTACTAAAAATACATAAATTAGCCGGGCATGGTGGTATGTGCCTGTAGTCCCAGCTACTCAGGAGGCTGAGGAGAATCGCTTGAACTTGGGAGGCAGAGGTTGCAGTGAGCCGAGATTGCGCCACTGCACTCCAGCCTGGGTGACAAAGTGAGACTACGTCTCAAAAAAACAAAAACAAAAACAAAACCATAAAGGAAATAAATACTCAAAACTCATCACTTACTAATTATCTCACTACACTTTACTGTTATCTATGCTTTTGAGATTATTTGCACCTATTGTATCTGTGTGGTAGAAATATATCTTCCCAGCTCCATGTTCAGTGACATCTCATTGGTAGCTTGAAACCAGCCATTGCTGGTGGTATTTACACTACAGAAATTGGCAAATTAGCGCTTGCTACTTCCCCTAGCCAATTGTCAAACATTTGCCAGCACACTGCTGGCTGTAAGTGCTGAGAAACTTTCTTCACTTATAAAAGTTAGTAGGAACAGAAGAACTCTTGTTACAACAATGTGACAATAGATAACTAAAATAACATAGTTATCTATTCTATATTTAATGATCTATCTACTGACAACTAGATTAGGCCACCCTGCAATTTTGTGGAAAGCAAAGACTGCAAACCATTTAACTTGCAAAAAGATTTCTTATTCTGGCATGAGATTTCTTCATTTTCTCAGTTTTGTTCCAAATCCTAGGGAAGCATGTTAAAAACCACTGAAAGTAATTGCTTACCTTTAAATCTGTGGAAACCCCATGGTCAGCATTTGAAGCTTGCTTTACTGCCAAGGTTCTCTGCCACAAGAGACTTTTATTCTTTGATAATCAAGGGGTGGAAAAAGGGAAGTCACTTTCATAATATGCCAACAGAGACCAAAATGCCCTACTTCTAAGGCTATGTTACACCCTTAGAAAGATTTATACGTAAGTCAGGGAGAAACAGGGTTAGGCTTCTTTTGTACTTTGATCATCATAGGATGCCCACCTTCACACCCTGCGATAATTCCAACAGTACCTGTGCTTGGGGCCCCAGATAATTTTACAGTCTCCATATAGCAACCCCCTCCACTTCTTGCCCCAACCTGCTCCCACCAATGCACTGTTAGGAGGATGACGGGTAAGGAGGACACACAATTTTCACTTATAAAAAGTGGAAGCTGACCTAAGGATGGAAATAAACTTGCAGACCAGTTCTCAGAGAGATCAAACTTTTAAGAAAGTTCAAAATCTGGAAGACGAAGCCCTTAGAACAGAAATCAGCCACTCTGAGACCAGCGTCAGTGGTCACTAAGTGGTCTCAGAGTGGCTGAGGCCCACTGCCTATTTTTGTTCAGCCCACTGCTAAGAATGGTTTTTGCATTTTTATTTTTTATTTTTTTGAGATGGAGTCTTGCTCTGTTGCCCAGGCTGGAGTGGAGTGGGGAGACCTCAGCTCACTGCAACCTCTGCCCCTCGGGTTCAAACGATTCTCCTGCCTCAGCCTCCAGAGCAGCTGGGATTACAGGCACAGGTAACCATGCTTGGATAATTTTTGTATTTTGTAGAGATGGCGTTTCAGCATGTTGGCCAGGCTGGTCTCAAACTCCTGAGCTCAAGCGATCTGCCGCCTCGGCCTCCCAAAGTGCTGAGATTACAGGCATGACTCGCTACATCCGTCCTGCATTTTTATTTTAAAATGTTATTTATCTATTTATTTATTTATTTTTGAGACAGGGTCTCACTGTGCAGTGAGCAATCATGGCTCACTGCAGCTTTCATCTCCCCGGCTCAAGCAGTCCTCCCACCTCAGCCTCCAGAGTAGCTGGGGCCACAGGGGTGCACCACAATGCCTGGTTAATTTCTTTAAAAACTTTTTGTAGAGATGGGGTCTCATTATGTTGCCCAGGCTGGTCTCCAATTCCTGGGCTCAAGGGATCCTCCTATTCCTTGGCCTCCCAAAGTGCTGGGATTACAGGCCCGAGCCGTAGAGCCCAGCCGATTTTTGCATGTTTAAATGGTTGGGAAAAAGGTTAAAAGAATAATAGTATTTCGTGACACATGAAAATTATATGAAGTTCAAATGTCGGTGTCTATAAGTAATGTTTTACTAGGACCTAGCCGCCCTCATTCCTTTAGTATTTATGGCTGCTTTTGAGCTACGACGCTGGAGTTTGAATAGTTGCCACAGTGATCGTATGGCCCGCAAAACCTAAAATATTTAGCCCTTTACAGAATAGTTTGCTGTCCCCGGTCTTAACACTGTTCACATCCCATTTGGGAAGTTCTGTATCTTCAGAGGGGAGCACACCCTGTTTGAAGGCTGGTCTAAACTCGACACCCTAGGCAAGTCCTTCCCGTTCCTGGGCCTTAGTTTCCCCAACTGTAAAATGGGGTTAGACGCAGTGATCTCTGGGGACCTGCCTAGAAGTGGGTCAAATAAAGGAGGTTGTAGCTCCTGGAGGGTAGGACTAGGGGTTGACTAGGAGCGGGGGGAGGGGGGGGCGCTGGCAGGGTGGGTCCCTTGGGGTTTCCAACTCCGCGGGCGGGCGCAGTGCCCCACAGGCCTCGCTTCCACTGGGGAATTCCGGGCGGGGTGCAGGCGGCGGGGCGGGGGCGGGCCGGGGCGGGGCCGGTAGGCCGCCTATAAGATGGGTGGCGCGCCCGCCTGGGGCCACTTGCTGCAGCCTGCGCACCCTCTCCAGTCCGCGGTGCCATGGCCCCCGCCCGTCTGTTCGCGCTGCTGCTGCTCTTCGTAGGCGGAGTCGCCGAGTCGGTGGGTGCTTGGAGGTCCCCGAGGGGGCGGGGGGGCCTCAGGCCGGTGCCTTCTTTGTTCCTTGGAGCGTGGGATCGGGGAGCGGTACGCCACCCCCAACCGGACACCGGGGCCCGGGAAACTTTGTTGGAAACTTTGCTCCGGGGTCACGGGCCATCTCCGGGATGGCTTCACGCGCCGTGCGCCCCTCGCCTGTTGCTCTTCCCGCCTCCCCTGGTCCTGCGGGCTCGTTAGTGACTAAGCCGGTGTCAACTCTTCAACTCCCACACCCTCGTCCCTTCCCTGGTGACCCTGGGGCAGGCTTGGAGCGCTGAATCCCCTCCTCGCTTTCTAGGCGCCCAGAGCGGACAGCTTTAGGATCCGAGATGGCCTGGGTATCCGGGGGCTGCGTGTACTCGGAAGGGGGAGGGGTTTAGGGTTGTGCGAGGCCCTCTTTCACACACCAGCGAGAACTGAGCCCTGACCTCAGTTGTGGCCCCAGCTCTGTCATTGACTTGTGACTTAGGGCAAAGTCCTGCCCTTCTGAATCTCTTCCCAATACTGCACCACGGATCTGAGGGAATGGGGCAAGAGGGGACTGCTACTGCTTTAGGGTTTCTAGAAAGTTGGGGACTCTGCTCTTTTCAAGGACAGAGGAGAGGAATGGTTTAGACTCAACATTTAGCCAGGAGTTGAGCTTCTGCTTTCTGCAAGAAGTGTGTTCATTTTTTCTCAATTGCAGATAAGAAAATTGAAGCATCCACCTTGAGTGAGGTGAAGAGGGTTGGGGGAGAGAAGGCCTCGATCAGCCCAGAGAAACATTCTCACTGCCCACTGGTCTCTGTCATAACTGTCCCTGGGCCAGCAGAAGCTCTATCCATCCCCACAGCCAGCTGAGGAGGAGGGGGTCAATCTCATCTGGGAAACTGGGGGCATGGGAATTACTGGTGAAGGCAATCTGTCCCCCAGTGCCTGAGCTTTGTGCCCCTTTTGTGCCCTTTAGCTCCAGTTTTCAGAGAGAGTGAGTCCTTGCAGTTTAACCACTAATGTTAATTTCTTTGAAAGCCTTGGGGCTCCTATTCCTCTGAATTTACTTAGGGGAAGGTTGATTCTGCCTGCAGGCTCTTCTTGAGGAATGAATGAGACCCTAGGCAATACTTCAGCACAATTCCAGGCGTGCCATGATGATTGCAAACATTTAGCGCCTTTGTGGGGGGGCCAGACATTGTTCTAATAACTTTCTAATGGGTATATCAAGGAGCTTAATTCCAACAACAATCCTACTGTGTATTGTTCTTAAACTGGTCCTGAGGCTAGAGAGGTTAAGTAACTTGCCCAGGGTCACACAGTTAATAAACAATAAACGGTGAGTCAGATTGAAATTTAGGCAGCCAGGCTTTCAAGTTTCTGCTTTAGCTTCTATGCTTTGTGCTACTCCAAGCGTCCCATACTTGGTAACTGAAGACGGGTTTAGAATCGGTTGAGATTTTAGGCTGGAAGGCAAAGGAATTCTGAGGTGGGAAGGAAACAAGGCCAGTGAGGTGATGACTTAACCTAAACCAAGGGCTACCTTGCCTGAAAGGTTAGTGGCTGAGGACCCAAGCCTTCTGCCTCTGGCGCAGTGCTCTGAACTAGGCCCTGAAGGATGTGTTGGGGTCAAGCAACTGGGGAAGCATCCGAAGGGATACCTCCTGGGCAGTACAGGGAAAAAGAGGAAAGGACCCAGGAGGTTGCTGAGGTCACCATGTGCCCAATCACATGCCAGTTTCCTCCCGGGGCTGTGAGTCTGCAGGTGCTTCGGGGTGCTGAGCAGACAGCTGTGTCCTGGGGACATTCTGAAGGATGTGGTTTGGGGGAAGGGGACTGTGTCAGTCCTGCCTGGGTGACCCATCAGCTGGAGGAGACATCAGCCCTGGGCAGCTGCTTCCTGAGAAAGGTATCAAGTCTCATCCTGACCTCAGCTCTCTCCTTCCTGGCTAATATCACAGACCTCCTGCCTGTAACTGGGGCACAGGGCTTCCCCTTTGGCCTATCCCCTCCCTCTTTTCTAGGTTGTGGTTGGAAAAATCAGACCTAGTCACAGTTGGCTTGGACTGAAGAGATGATCCAGCATGTCCTTTTCTTTTTGCAGGTAGAGAAAAGTGAGGAGGCCCAGGGAGAAGGACTTTGCTAATAGCAGCTAGGATTGATAGAGTACTTTTTGTATGACAGATCTGGTGCATTTTATCCTCACAAAAAAAGACCTATCACATGGGGATTCTATTATGCCCACTTTCCAAATGTGACAGGTAAAATGGTACTACTTTGAGTTAGCAGAGAGCATCCAGGACCCCAGGATCTCTGACTAGTAGTCCTCCCATTGTGAGTGGTGTTCCCCCCACTGTTCCATCATTCCCCTTACCACCCCCATGTTTTGGAAGGGAACCCAGGCTCAGTACCCAGCTGTCCTCTCCTCTGTTTGGCTGGGCTTGCTATACTAAACCAGTTCTTCCTGTCCAGCTGGGAGCATTCCCTGATCTGCCTTCCTGCCACTCCCTCTCAGGCCAATTAAAGGCAGCCTTTTTTAGGGAGTCCCCTCCACCCAAAGGTGTTTCTACCCAGGGGCACAGCCTACTGACTTGGCCCCAGGCCCAGGCAGTTCTGGGGAAGTGTCCCCCACCTATCAAGTGTACTTGATAGTTTAAGGACATTTCTGGTCTTCTACAGCGTCCTCTTCTTGAGCGGGGGTGGGCCGGAAGCCGAGGGACTTCTAGGACCCTTGAGTGAACAGTGAGAGCTCTTGGGACTTCTCGAGCCCAGGGAGTTATCAAACACCCAGGAAAATATTTGGGCCATGATTTGGAGGGTTCCATGAGGTTGGAGGGAGGCTTCTTTCCCTTCTGGGCTGACATCCCCCATCATAAAATGAAAGATTTGAACAGGGTGGCCTCGAGTCCTTTCCATCTCTGAATTTGATTAATAACTTAAGTACCTACTATTCAAAAGAGGTCTCTCTCTTGAAGGAATTAAGAAGGAATGAACATACTCCACCAAATTCTGAATCCCCTCCCCCTCCACCCCCACACACCCAGGGCAGGAACTCTGCTCTACTTGTTTTTGTGAAATACCTGTCCCCTAGTTAGTACTCAGGAAATGCTTGTATGAATGAATAAATTCATGCATGTAACTTTATTCTAAATGGTTCATTAATGTTATTTATTTCTAGTAGGAATATCTCCCCGTACTGCAAGGTACTATTTTCTCTATTTTTACAGGAAATGGATGCTCAGAGGAATGCAGTGGCTTGCTAAGGTCAGAATCAGGTCCGACTGATAGGGCAAGGTGTCTGGTTTGAGTGTCCTCAGAATATTCCAGATGAGGAAATTTGCTGGGTTTGAAGGTAGATACCTTAGGTCCTACTTCTGCATTGCTGGGTGACCTTGAGCAAACATGCCCTATTTCTGGGTCTCAGTGCCCCCAACTCTAAAATAAGGAGGCTGGACCATTGCCTTCTAAGGTCCTTCCTGCCCGGAGAGCCCATTGATGAGGGGAGGGGCCCTTTCCTGGTCTCGTTGGTAAAGTCTAAACAAATCCCAGTCTCAGAAGAGAAGTGGGGGTGAGGGGACATTCGGCTCCTGCCATCCCCAGCTCCTAGAAACAGAGGGCTTTTCCAAGGACTTTGAGTGCTAAGCTTGCCTGAATGGGGAGCTGGGGAAGCCAGGCTGGGCTCCCAGCCCCAGCTCCCTGTTGGGAGAAGTTGGCTCCTAGCTGTCCTTCAACCTCCCGGACTGGACAGGCAGGTATGATTTCCAAATGATTGCTTAAAATTGGGGTAAGGGGCTGCACCGAGCACTGTGAGTCACTGCATGCTAGCGTAGCCTGCCTGAGTCACCCATTTCCTTTCAAACTCTTGGCTAATAGGACAGCTCTGTGGTGGGGGTGTTGGAATGCGCTCAGAGTTTTACCTCGTCCTTTGGGAGTCATTGTTTCAGTGTCCAGGGCCTTGAGGGGACATACAGGAAATGTTTGTACTAGGGCCGGCACTTTCACGTGTGGGCTTTGACATTGTACATTGCCTGCGTGTGGACTTTGACATTGTACGTTGTGCAGCCAGTCCTCAAAATGGGGCTTTAGACCTCTGCAGAGCAGGTAGTACTGTTTTCCCCTTTAAGGCAAAACTGAGGCTGCAACTGGCCTGCATTTTTTCATGGAGCAAAAGCTGGTACTGTTCAGGTTTGGTTTGACCCCAGGATTTTCTGATATTTGTGATGACCCCTCTTTGCTTCCTGGGGCTGGCCAGAGGGCATTGAAACATTGGCTTGGTGTTAGGCAGACCTAACTCCAGACGTGCTAAGTCCACCTCTTACTAGTTACATGAACTCAGTCCTGCTACTCAACCTCTGAGCCCCAGCCTCCCAGTCTGTTAAGAAGATCATGATACCAGTGTGGCGAAGCTTAAAGGAGACGACAGGCCTGTAAATAAAGGCACCTAGTACCATGCCTGGTAGGGAGGAGGTGTTACTTAGTGACAGTTCCCTTCCTTGCCCAGGCCACCTTCATGCCAGGGGGTCCTATCTCCTCCTGGAAAGCTTTCTCCCATTCCCCTTATCCCCCTTATCTACCCCCACACTGGGAGGTGGGAAGGGAGAAGTCCAGGGTGGGGCTGTTGGAGTCCGAATCTTCTATTTGTTTATCTTAGAAGTGGGCTGTTTGCTAATTATTGAATGGGTTTATGTTTAAACAAGAACCAGTTCTGGGCAGCCCCACCTCTCCTGCTGGGATTTGCTGGAGCCTCGTGCTGAACAGTTTGCAGCCTGGAGGGAGAGGGGGCAGGGGGTTTGCCAAGGGTAACGGACCACTCTGGACACGGCCCAGGACTTGGGGTCACCCTCCTGTGCTGGAGGGGCAGAGTTTCTACTCTTAAGGAGGCTGAGTAATTGCAAATAGCACTTTGGGGGGTGAGGTGTTGGTGGACAGAAAAGGTACAGTGTTCTGAAAAGCCAGTTTCTCGTATATTTTCACTGCATGGTGCCCTAGGGAGG